ATATATATATATATATATATATATATATATATATATATACATATACATACATATATATATATATACATATATATATATATATATCTACATATACATACATATATATACATATATATATTTCTAACAGCAATGGTAATGACAAACTAGTTAAATTGAAAAGATAACACAGTTGATTCCAGTGTAGTACACCTAATCCGTATCAGTATTATCTAAGAACAATCCAATTTTACCCAATTTCTTGGCTTATCGCTACAATTAACTGGAATCAACTAGAATCAATTGAACTCAAAACGAATTTGATCAATTCTAGCAATTTTTTAAAATCTCAAAAGATTTAAAAAGAAAAGAGAAGAATAGAAGGGGAGAAAGGAGAAAGAAAAAGAAGTAAAGATAGAGGAAGGACAGAAAAAGACATAAAAGCAAAACAAATGAAATATTGCTCATTAAGAGAGTGAAACAAACAAAATATTGCTACTATTATGTTTGTTATTTGCTTGGACTATTGCATTTGTGATCTAGTACCATTGTTGCAATGTTTGTCATCCACCATCCATGTAATACAAAGAGGAAAGGTTATAGGGAGAGGAAAAAGAATGATACAGAAGAGCCTTTAATCTGGATGCTATATAAAATTGACATGACATGTGAATCAAAATTTATTCCAAATCCCATGAGTGCTCCATTCAAATAAAATATGTTTTTTATTTGACTTCACATCAAACTATATTTCACGATCACTATCTTCAAAATTGTAGGATATTGAGTTTAGGATTTTTTATGACATGAAATATTATAATAATATCTTCATATGACATTAGTATTTGTTTCCCAATAAATATATAATATTTATTATTAATGGATAATTTTTATTATTTTATCATCATTTTTATCTTTTATATTTTAGTTTTGTGTTTTTCAATGATAAGTTGGATATCCTAACAAATATAGGGTGTAGAAGAATCTTTTAGGATAAAATATTGTTATTTCCTCATATTCTATATAATTTTCCAAACATTTTATTTTATTTTAATTAATTCAGTGCTCAATCCTAATCCCTAAACTCTAATACAAATGACCCCACCAATCCTGATCATATCATCTCTAGTGTACACCAACATTGATATTGCAATTATTGCAAGATCAATAAAATGACCATTTAATCTATCGGAAGTTAACAATACATGGAGCTCCAACTATAAATGCTATTGTCAAAACTTTTTTCATTATGACACTCAAACCTTGCATGAGGCAGCTGATAGAAGCATAAAATTCTCAAATCTTATGAGCATGGATAAATACAAATTTCAGTACAAGGCAATCATATTGCCCCAAATAGAGTTTACTAGAGAAAAGATTCATATAGCTGACCCAAATAATTGGGTATACGTTAATAGTACATGGAAGACCATAGCAAGCTGAAATGAGCTCAAACTAGAAGCAATTAGCTTTGAAGATTAAATACAACCAGAAATTGAAGCATGAGATACAACATCATTAACAGGATCACAACAATGACAAAAGAAACAAAGCACAATTTTAGTGGCTGCAAATAGTAAGGAACTACACCAAGGCAGTTAATGTCCACATGACCAGCTTATCAGCTATACTCAGATTTCAACCACAATAACAAAACAGCAATGAGATTTATTTTGAGATTGTCAACCCAAATCAAACAAGTGATGAAATCCAGAAAGGGAAATAATATTCCTGCAAGACCCATTTCCTGCATCATAAATGTTCTTGCAATATCTGTAATATGGAACTATTACAACTACATATATATTATAGGCCATTAAGACAGTTTAGATTAATACAATAAGTTCATTATCGGGCTTGCCATTTCTTGTTTTGAAAATGTAAACAACTATGTGCAACAGCACTAGAAAATTCCTCTTTTTCTTGTTATTGATGAAGTTTCTATGAGCATTAACGTCATATTCACCAACACTAACTGGGTTACTTTTGCCATTTGGCACCATGAAAGAGAAAATCTTGAGAACTCTCTGATACATGTTTCTAGAGGTAGCACATCAGCCTTTCTCATATAACTCAGATGAAGGAATAAAAAGTAAAAAAGAAAAATCTAAACTGATGTATTCTGGCTAAGGTGTATAAGCAACAAAGGAAGATCATGGCTAGCAAGACTGCAAGAGTATCCGATAGAAGATACAACACCACCTTAAAAGAAAGAGTTGACATTACACATAAACTGAGTATGATAACAGATAATTATTTACATAAGTACAAAAATTGACTATCTGTATGCTGCAATTTTTCGTACTATAGAAAAATATATAAAAAAAAGAATGACACTTTTTAAAAGTGAAACCTATTAAAGAAAATCATCTTACATCAACTGCATTAGTGCCCTTGTCCATAAGATCAATTTTAGTAAGCACTCCAAAAGTCCTCTCACCTAAATTCAAAGAGAGTACATAAGAATTAGTTGGATGATGATCAAAGGTAGACAGAGAAAACAATCAGCTTTTCGCCCAAGTTTGACATGCTCCAAAGTGTCATGAAGCATGGTAATATTAACTCTTGAGTGATAACTTAAACAATATTTGCTGGAAAATAAGATATATAGTTCATATACATTAAGGAAAAGGAAATCTGTCTTCCTAAAGACATAAGAGATTGATTCTTCCACAAAGTTAAAGAAAATTAAGCAACTTCAAAAGAAAATCATCATCAATTAACATATTGACTGTTGGTTCTGTCAACTGCAACAATTTGAGTGACAAAAAAAATCTGAATGGTACAAGTTAATTAGCTGATCTCCAAATTGAAAGATGTGCTTAAAGAAATTGCTACTAGCTAGAAAAATAAGTAGTATATATCAGACATAAGAGAAGATGCAAACAGATTGGCAAATTCGCAAAAGAGAAATTTGGCTATGTAATATTAACAAACAAGTTTTTATGTAACACAATGACAGCATTTCTCTTGCCCTTGACTAGGAGGTTTCATAAGTTGAAGTAGTTGAACACTAAGAAATGAGAATGTCACTTGCCAAGCTGTCATTAATGGAGAGCAGAAACATAAACATTGGCCTACTTTAATCTTGAAGCTCCTTAGTGAGCATGTGTCTGAACAAAAAACCTGTTGTAGAAAAGAATTACAGTTGTGGTCAAATTATACTATTGTTATAATTTACTAACAGCAGTCTGCAATGGCCGTGAAACATGTAAAGTGTAAACAACCTCTCTACCCATAGGAATAAGGCTGCATATATTGACCCTTCCAAACACCATATTGGCAGGAGCCTCATGCATTGAGTCTGCACTTATTGCTTGGCAATGATAGTGATGGGGGCAAAGTTTAGAGTATATGATTGGCAAAGAATAAAAGACAACAAATGAAAAGAAAATTGAAGTAATAAAATAACAAAAATGTTAATGGTAAGTTGTGGATGTGGGTTGGATTGTATTTTTATCTCTTAGCTGGAAATCAATTAACTAAATAATCAGTGAAGTTCAAGCCTTATCCATCTGATTTGATATGAATTGATTTAGAACTAGGTCTATGTTGAAACTGGACCTAAGTTAGAACTACTAGTATTGGAAGGTTGAGGTTCCACTGGTTTTACCTGTTAAGCAAACAGCCGAATTGTGAATGTTGACTCTGAAAGAAAAACATATAAAAAATAATGCTAAAGCATTATTTCACTTAATGATAAATTGTGACTTAAAAAACACTTCATTCCCCACTAAGCTATCATCAAGTGCATCTAAGAATTTGGCATTTGTATGTGAATGATTATGGGTTTATGTAAATGTGATTAATACAAAATCTGGGAATAACCTACTAAGACTCATTCATTGGCTTGAGATGAGTATAGTCCTCAATGAACATATGCAGGTACATTTGAAGGATGTGTATAATTCCTCCATGTCCATATGTTACTGTCAAACCCAATGGGAACTGAGAAATGGTTGTCAATTTCAGGTATGGTTTCCTTAAATTCTAAGGCATGCATGTGAGCCTTCAGATATCACTCTTGTAGCATAATATCAGAATATCACCTCTTCCAACTGCATGCATGTAAGACTTCAGATACGTACATTGCATGAATAGTCTTCCAAATGCAGCAGTTATGGCCTCTGAACATTGATCTGTTTGGCACGGCATATCAATTTTTGTTGACTTCATGTGACTCTGAGGCCAAGATGACTCCTTTACTTCCATGCTCATCAGTTGCTAGGTACTATTTTTTTGAGTGGCAAGGAACATAGCTAGGTGTGCAAAGATAAAATCTTGAAGCTAAAGCAGAAGATTCACTTGTACTTAGCATACTACTAGACAATGTTTGAAATATCGTATCGTACCAGAGTTTCGATGTTCGCACGGTACAGTACGATACTGTATACCATTCGATATACCGCTCGGTATATATATATATATATATATATATATATATATATATATTTCGTTTCGTCCGGTAATGGGCAGTCCGTGTACCGGTCAGCTGACGGACCAGTACGTACCGCTCGTATCGAACGGTATTATTCAAAATTACATACCTTGCTACTAGATCAGTTACTAATTTTTCAGAAAATTTATTTGTCTCAGTTAAGATTGAAGTGGCATTCCACATCTTATAAAATATTTGGAAAACATATTATTTGTCTTCTTTATAAAAATATTGTTTTATAAGGAGGGAAGGTTAAGCAAACATCAAACATGTCCAATGTGATCCAGCTGTATGGCCTGGGCAGCATCAGGTAACACTCTTAGCAAGTATATAAACAAATGCCAAAAGGACAAAGGTCTTTATTTATTTTATTTCCGATGTCTACTCATAAGGTGTGTAAGCCACAGGCATTCAAATAAAAGATGACATATAACAGACACCTTATTCTAACTCATACAAAGCATAACCATGCCAATTCATTATTCTCTTTGCTTATGCAGTATCATATGGAAAAAAACATTGTGATTACTGCATAACAATTGCAAATAAGAATTACACATCTCATTGATTGACAAGTACATCATGTCCATTATATGCTACTTTCTTCTTAAAAAAAAATCAGATGAATTCAATTCAGAACAGATACCAATCAACAAAGGCTGGGAGCAGACACATTTTATCAGTCAGTAGCATTGCATCAATTACCAAATACACCTAAGTTGCAAAACATAAAGTACGATCAGAACCATCATTCAGTCAAGACTCTTAAACAAGGCATACCTACTACTTGCATTTCTTATGTTGTTTTACACAGTAATAGAAATTACAATGACAAAATTGCAAATTCAACTTCTTTTTTTATTAACTTCAATGTTAAATCAGCTTGTCCCATATGAAATTTAAACTTCCACCTAAATCAGGAAAATGGTTATACAGATGTTGATAGGTAGCACAAGAACAAACATACAACAAAAGAACTCCATTCAAAAGCCTCCATCGTATTGCCAATCAAATTTCACTTACAAAGTCAAATTAGTCTAGTGGTTACATCTTTCTCAGGACATCAATATATATGTATGAATATGCATACTTGCTCAGCTATCTTGGACAAACTCATAGATAGGGATCAAATGGGCTAGTCCTTCAGAAAAATCAACATAGTAAAATATTCTTTAAAAATCTGAGAAGACAATAAGAAACTACTACTTGTAATTCTTTATTTCAAAAAATATCTTAGCATAGAAGAAATGTAACTGCAATTCTGCAAATACATACCCTTGGGGTCCACTTCACGAGAAATCTTAATTGCATCTGATGTAGCAAGGTCCTGATTGGCTGGAGAAATTGCAAGAATGATACAATTAGGCTGCAAATAAAGAAAAGAGAATTCAGATTCCTTCCAAATTATCACCTATATAAAGCATGTTAAGTCAAAATCTAATATGACATCCTGAACCCAGTGTACGAGTCTGGCAATATAACAAATGAAACTCAGTGAGTCCCAGTAATGTGCCAATGTTAGTAGTCAAGAATCAGAAGAAGAAACTTAATGGACTTATAGAAACAGAAAATAAATATCTATTGCAACAATTTACACGCTTTAACCAAAGAAATAATTACTACTAGTTATTGCAAGAAAGTTGTTCTCATCAAATTTTGTGACTGACATAAACATAAACTGCACACTGGATTTTCGTGCAGATTGATAAGCATAAGATATTTTGACAAATTTTACACATATATTACCTTTTCAATGTATGCACGGACCATATTCTCGATATCAGTTACAATGCTCTCAGGTTGACCCTCTGCAGAAGGTAAATTGGACTAATATTGCAGGGAATGGCCTTCTAAAAGAAGACAGGAAACAAAATGTATAACAAGGAAAGTGAAGTACCAACTGCCACCTTTGTAAGTCCAGGTAGATCAACGAGTGTCAAGTTTACAACTGTCCATTTAAATATATTAGAGAAGAGAAAAAATAAACTCTAAATTCATAGATGCTGCATATATTTTGGTTTCATCATGGCTAAATTCACAAGATAGAGTACACAATAATTGAACTGCCAAAAGATATGTATGCTAATATGGTCAATACTCAAAAGCCACTTCACTTTAATTCTGTCACAAGTTAAATCAGATTCTAAGTTACAACACATTGAAACTGATAAAAACAGTCAACAACAAAATCCGCCTGTAGGAATGATGACCCTAATCTCACACACATTTCCATTTAAAAATAACCCATCTGCTGATTACACAGTTAACAATCAATAGCAAAATGATGTAATTTAGCAACTTCTACACCAACATAATATCAAGTTCTTCGGCAATGGTCATGTCCAAGCATGCACAACATGACATCTTGCCATTAACTCACTATTCATGTCATACAAATCGAGGTCCCTGAAAAGTAACTTTTTTTTGTCAGCATCTTCATCATTCTTTTGCCCATTAAGTTTAATGATATTGATACCCCAAATAGTTATTAATACATAACAAAATAAATGAAACTTAAAATATGTCAAAAGAAGACAGATAACAGGAATTGGCTTATTAATTTGCTTCATCTAATTCAGATGTGATATAACACATCAGTGCCCTCTTTTAACTACATCTCAGTTTCCCATTTACATGTCTTGAACTATAAAACATCATACAATCTATATACTCGTGAAACTATAACCATAGCCTGATTTATAGTCATTAAATATGCATACAGTTACATTTCCAGGAGAATGCACAAAAACTGGGTAATTTGCTTTAACTCCCTTCCTTAAGACTCTTCTTTAAATGATGTGTGTTTTAGGCTTTTAGCCAAAAGAGACATGATGGAGTGATCATGTCAAAACCAGATGGCTCAGACCTCCTAAGTTGATAAATTATTTATGCCATATAAATCAAACAAGCTATTTTATACCATTCAATAGTTTATTTATACAGATTCGTGATGATATGGAGCTGAAGGCCAGAATCTTTTTATGGACAGAAAGTTTAACCTATACAAGATTCAAATCTAAAGAAACAGCAATATTAGTTGGATCATGAAAATCTTTTTATGCATGATAGCATATGAATATCCAGCAAATGTCCCCCACTATGGCAAAGATAAAAGTGTAAAACCATAAAAAAGAAATGTATCCAGTTTGAAGTTCCCACCAATGCGGGGTCCAGGAGGCTAAAAGTGTAAAAGAATGCATATGAATATAAATAGAAATAAGTTATGAATACATGTAATTTTAATCTGTGTTTTCAGATATCCAAAAACTATATGTACATTACTTAAAAATTTCATATAAAATTGATAAGTAGTCAAACCTCATATCTTACCATTAGGAGAAAATATACTTAGATGAATTGGAACGGAGGAGATTTGCTTTGAACGGCCGGTCTCTCTATCAGTTTCATCTTCGATCTCCTTCCTAACTTGAGCTGCATCATGAATATCATATCAGCAGATTAGAATAATAAGAATCATAAAACAGATAAATGATTGATTGCATGCACAACCAGCCAATGGCTTCAACATAGGTATAGAAAAGATCAAAAGAACAGAACATGAACTTTGGATTATGACATGGGAATACATAGAGATAAGGTTCTGGAGAATAATAATCTAGCCAGGGTATTGGCAAAAGATTAAATACATTAAAAAGCATTTATTCATAAATGTTCTTTTTTTCATTTGAGATATAAAATACCAGGTAAACAAATCAAAACTAACAAGAAATTAAAATAGACTATATACCAGACTAAATTAAAATCTAGCATGCATATCAAGGCATAACAACAACCCTATTACCCATTAGTGCATTATTTTCATTCAAAGTCTCCAATATATTTTAACGAGGCATTCCATTGTCATGCTAAATGACAAAAGACATCATTCCACCACATACGCTTATTTAAATTGGATTTTTTAATCCAAGCAAAACACATCTTAATTGCAAGTCTCTTCACCTTTTGAAGAATTCCACACAGATATTAAGAACCATAGGTCATATATACTCTAAAATGAAAGTGAAATCAACATATTTATATTTACCTTATATCTTTTCATCTTTTAAATAATTCCACGATCATGTAACATATTACTGTAAAAATAAAAGATAAAGCAACAAATTTCTACTTACCTAGAAGTATTTGGTCATCACAATAATGAATGTGTAAAAAGAAAAGAAAAACAATTTAGTTAGTGTATTATCTATAATATGTTGAGTCCATACATCAAAACATCAAAAAGACAATGGCAATAATTTGAAGTTTATCAATTAAAATAAAGTTTTACAAATATACTCAACGATTAAGAGAGGCTTTCATCTGCAACTGAGGGATCTCAAAGACGATCTTTTAAGAAAAAAGCCCAGAAAGTTAACTTTTCCTACACATGATTACCAAAGTCGGTGAACTTCTTCTTGGGAAGGTGCATAAACTCTGCATATTCTCTCCCTTCATCAATTTTATGAAGTTGCAGTACGAGGGGGCGGCGAGTAACAATTCCTGCAAAATTATATAGCCTAAAGTAAACGAAAGATAAATTAGAATAAGCAAGAAGGTGCTTAATACATGATTTGGGCCTTGAAAATCACCTGAACCCCTTGGCAAGAAATCCTTGCCAACTATGCTTTCCAGCACTGACGACTTACCTGAGCTCTTTAGAAAATAAACAATCATGAGACCAGATATCACATGAGACATTGTTGCAAGAAATCTAGAACAAATAGAGAATACAAAGCTAAAAATCTTAACTGATCAACAAGTGCTGTAATCCATGAAAGAAGAATAATCCATTTATGTAACGGGCACATCAACCATCAAACAACTCGGATGAAAAATCTTAAAGGCGAAAACCTTGTTCTCAAATCCCAGAACACATGTCTTCATAGATACAAGACTCCAATCCAAAAACAAATAGCCTAAGCCCGCAGAACAAAGGTAGAAGACCACATCAACAGCGATAATGAATGGCGAGGGGAGGCAGAGAAATCAAGAAGCCGAATACCTGCCCGCCGACGACGGCAATTGCAGGCAGGGAGTCCCACAGCGTCGGCAAGGCGCTCTCCTCCCCATGATCTCCGAGGGCGGTGCAAGCCCTCTGGATATTGTTCACCAAAGATATCAAATTCTCCATGTCCCCTGTCGACCGGACGTGGATCGAAAGAGATCAATCGCTTTCCCCAAGACGGGATCGCTTCTCGCGATTGTATTCCGCGACAGAAGGAAACGGAGAATGAAGCGCCGGAGAGAGGCGATTTGTAGCGCGCCTCCGCCATTTGAGCGCCAAATCGAATGGTTTCAATCGGGGAACGGATCTCTTTTGAAGCGGTCCACGGGAGGTGGGCCGGTCTGGACCGTCGGATGAGTCGTCGGGCCTCTTGCTCGCTTCATGATTCGTGTCACCGTGGACGTAGCATCCGCCGTTGGATTCGGATCGGACAGTCTACGTCGAGTTCTGTTTGCTTTACTCATCTGTTCTCCGAAACGGGACGATCGGGACCGTCGGCTCGATGTGTTTCTTGCATACTTTAGGATTCACTCACCGTCATCATCGACGGTCCGTCGAACAACGAAAGTTTTAGCCGCTTGATTTGGATCGAATGGTCTGTGATGATTCCAAATAACTTAGGGAAAAAGAATAGCATCATAACATTAGATGTGTGCTGAAATATTCAATATCTTTCCTCTCTTTTCTCGCATTGTTGCACATCTAAGCATAGTAATTTTCTATCATTAGTGGCTTCAACATTGGCTTGCATCCACCAATCAACAAGCCATCTCAGTTAAAAGCCTCCCATCCCCCTTCCCTCCTCTTTCGCATCTCCTCTCGTCACCTTGGCTCTCCTTCCTATGGCTGACCAAGGAATGGGGGGCCGCTGCTTCTTCTTCTTCCTCCTACTCTCCATTCCTCGCGCCTCGCAGCAGCACCGTCTCCTCCACCACCACCACGCCATAAACCGGCTGGTGCCGCACCACGCCATAAGCCGGCTGGCGCCGCACCCCGCCATTAGCCCGCTGGCGCCGCAACCCGCAGCCACAGCACCCAGCGGCGAGGGACAGGACCCCGACACGGCCCATGAGTTCCTGTCCTCTCACAACCAGGTGCGCGCCACCATCGGCGAGTCGCCCTTCGTGTGGGACGAGGCGGTGGCCGAGTACGCGCGCAACTGGTCGGACCTTCGGCGGAGCGACTGCGCCATGGAGCACTCGCAGGGCCCGTACGGGGAGAACCTGTTCTGGGGGTCGGGGCAGGACTGGAAGGCGACGGACGCCGTCGAGAGCTGGGCGGCGGAGCGCGACAACTATAACTCCTCCGACAACTCGTGCGCGCCGGGGAAGATGTGCGGCCACTTCACCCAGATCGTGTGGAACAGTACCGCCCGCGTGGGCTGCGCCAGGGTGGAGTGCGACGCTGGCGCCGGGGTCATCATCGTCTGCGACTACGACCCACCGGGCAACTGGGTCGGCGAGATGCCCTTCAACGTAAACACTTGAGGAAGCGAGGATGACGATACAAGCTTTGGAGCGGCCGAGCCTCCGGTTGCATGCGATTGCATGGGAATATTCTCCACGTTCTTCCATTTTTGCATGGTGGCAAGATGACGTGAGATCGTCTCGACGAGTTGAGATCGTTTGCTATGTAATCCTGCGACTGACCACATTTTAATCTCTTCCATTGATGCTACAAAGTTTCATTCCCACAAATATAGGAGCCAATTAGCAGCGTCACAAGGTGAACTGTCACACAGAGACACACACACACACATGTTATACAGCGTCACAATTATCAGGGTAATATTTTCTATAATATTGCTAACTAGCAATTTTTGCTACGTGTTATACCTTTTAATAAAAATAAATATTAATTTGAAGATTGGTTTTCTTGATGGATGCTACAATTGGTGAAATCGTCTCTTGGAAGACATCCGATAAGTGAAATCGGCATTTGTAGCTCGCATGTTGGCCCAATTACGGCCCATCGAAACCCATCCAAAATCGGTGGGGTCCACCGATCGGACGGTCAACATACGGGCTCACTCAATTAGGGTTCGACTATAAATAAGCCCGACGGAGACACGGGACCGACTGTCTCGTCGCGTCGTTAGGGTTCCTGCGGAGCGAAGACCAGATCTCCCGTACCCGCCAGGATGGTACGCTCGTTGATGCCATTTGCCCTCCTCTGTGATCTTTGCTTCTTCTTGTTACCTCGCCGTTACGTTCGCTTGCGGTCCATCTTAGAGGAGTTCGATCCATTCGGATGTTCCAACTAGACGGTCTTCGAGAATAGATGAGTGGTGCGGAAGCGGCCGGATATTGCTGCAATGAACATTAATTTTGGAGTGTGAAGAAGAGGAGTGCCTGAATCGGGGATCTTGGTCTTATGTTTTGGTAGGAAGTGATGAGGTTTCTTTAGAAGTTGATCGTATTGAAGGGATCGCATCTTGAGATGCTCAAGGGCCCGGGAATGTTTGGTCGTGGTAAAAGATGAACATCGCGAGTTAATGCAACATTTGGGATATGAGTGTTTGAAAAAGAGATTTGGATGTCGAGAAACATTCTTTTTTCCCTGGTTGAATGAAATAAAAACGTATTATCTTGGTGCTTTTTGGGTAAATCTAATAAATGATGATTCTGTATTGTTATATGCTGGCGAGAATGGGGAATGGTAGATGTTCCAAGCCATTTCGGACAATGCTTTTCTCCAGAAAGGCAGCTTTTGCAAGAGGTTATATATCCTATAATAGTTCATTTGAAAACTGCATGAGGTATGCTAGGTGTCTCAAAAAACCGTATGATATCAAATATTGAAATGACATGTTTAGTGATATCTTTCGATATTGAGATGTAGGAGTTTTTCCTTGGATTTTCATCTCTTTAATGGTGAAAGAGATATAACATAGGAATATAAGACCAATTTAACTGGTATCTTTCATGATCTTTCTATGACCGGCGTATTCACCATATTTGATTTCCTGTTTGTTCACATTGAGCTGCCCTAGTGTTGCTGGGACTTTTTCCGGTGTGGTCTCGTACCAGTGCCTTGCTAGGACTGTATTGTTAACACTAATTATTTGAAAATTGTTTTGGTCTTTTGCCTGATATTTGTGTTTGTTCCACTTGAATACAGACGAAACGCACCAAGAAGGCTGGAATTGTTGGCAAATATGGTATGTTATTCTCAAGGCATCCTCACCTTTTATTCTTTTACTATGTAAGATTTTTAACAGTTGCAAGCATTATCTGGCTTCAGGTACCAGATATGGTGCTAGTTTGCGCAAGCAAATAAAGAAAATGGAAGTTTCTCAGCATGCAAAGTATTTCTGCGAGTTCTGTGGAAAGGTGCAACTTTTATATAAATGAGTGGTTGATGGTATACTGAGTTTATTTTTGCATAGTGTACAAACTAGGTATTAAGAGGGATTCAGTTTATTAGACTCTAAGTTCTCTTCCCTTGAAATGCATAGTTGAAAATCATATCTGCGAATTTTTTGTTCATTTGCTTGCAAACCAATTCGGCATGTCATGTCCTGCAATTTTAACTTGTCACAAGTTTGTTTTATCCTTTAGTAATGTATGGCCTTTGAATTTTATTTGTTTCAATCTTAATTATTGATGTGGTTTGTGTCATCGTAGTTTTTAGATGGTCCCATATGATTTATTACCATCTTTAGCTTGCCCAATATACGGACTTCCCCTTGTGGATTGAAGATTTCTGTGCACCTAATCCTTTTAGGATAAACTCGTCAACTCATGGCCTTTATGAAGAAACATAGTTTGTAATTTATCATGGTGAGCTGGATTCTTTATGGATCATTTCAGTCGGTTCATTTCTTGGTGGTCTATTTTTCGTTTTCGCATTCTTCCCTAGGAATTTGTACCTCTTGCTAACTAACATGTTTTTATCTTCTTTCTGCTGCTGCAGTATGCCGTGAAAAGAAAAGCAGTTGGGATTTGGGGATGCAAAGATTGCGGTAAGGTCAAGGCTGGTGGTGCGTATACCTTGAAGTAAGTGTTGCATTTTTGTATCTGTAGCTATTGTATCTGCCCTTTTGTTCTTTTATAACTTTGGCCTCATGGTATCTGTAGCACTGCTAGTGCTGTGACTGTGAGGAGCACCATTCGTCGGTTGAGGGAACAAACTGAAGGGTGATGATGCACAGCAGGTGATCGGACAATTTTTCGGTAGAAAGGTGGTTTCACTATCAGCAACTTGGTGTTTGGTTCCGTTGTAACCGGAGAATTGGTGCTTTAACCAGTGTCGTTGAGACTTTGGATTGACGGGCGTCTTTCGTTGATTTTAGTAGTTATTTAACTTTTGAGAGGTCGATACATTCATTCTCGTGCCATTATGCTGCTTACTGATTTTAGTAGTTATTTAACTTTTGAGAGGTCGATACTTTCATTCTCGTGCCATTATGCTGCTTACGAATTCACCGTTTATTTTCTTGGCTCTTACTGGAATAACATTTAGATTATTTGAGTTGGTGAGTTGGTTGATTTCTAATATCTAGTTAGCACTTTTAATTTGATAAATATAGTATATCATCATATCTGATAAGATCCATCCATGTTTTCAATGAAAAATGTATTGGATGAGATTTTGAACTCTTATTGTATACCTTGTTTAATTGTATGACACAGTCTACTTATCAACTTTATAACATCTCAACAATAATAATAATAAATTAATTATTTAAGATCGATTATATAAATTTTTTATTGTCATTAAGATATGTAAAAATCATATATGTTATGCCAAGACCAAACATATGTATACATATTAACATCATCCTTTTGTCAAAGCACTCATACCCATGATATGAATTAATCTTGACATTCTCAATTCACCTATATATAAATACAACCACACCTGTGTCAACAATTGAATGCTTATCAAACTTCTTCAACAGGTGCTTAGGATGATATAAACAGTACTCTCAGGCCAATGCCAACAGCAAACTCTATTAGCAAAGTTGATACTCTTCACATGTTTCTTACAAAATCCAAAGAAAGATTGTTCATTCTAACAATAAATTGCCCTTGATCTCAATCTCAGAACATTAAGCAGCTGCAGCAGCAGGGATGTACCAACCATGGTGGATCTCCACAGCTTTCTTTCTCCTCGCGAGCCTAGACTTCCTCCGCGCCCCGGTGTTCCCATGCAAAGTGCCTACTTGGATAGCTTTGTCGATTGCCGAGTATGCATCCGCTATAAGTTTTTCGATCGGAAGAATTTCTTCTGCCTGTGCATCACTTTTCTTCCTGAGTACATCAAGGGCTTCAAGGACCTAAGCCAGAAAAGATAAATGACAATTGCTTGTGTCACACTGTAAGAAAATTGAAAGAAACCAAATGAGGTAGTATCCACTTTTTTTAGAACAAATATGAGATAGAGACTAAATCACAGCATGACAATATCAAAGCAAACATGTAAATATACGTCCAATGCACTTTCTGCAAAAACCTGATCTATCACTTTTTCTCTCATGATATAATTCCTACTTGAATGGTGGTGTTCCACCAGAGGAGCCCATTTGTTTCCCAGTGTTTTCAGTACTTGCTTACCAAGAAAACAAGGGAAGAAGTAAAACAAGCCATATCAAAATTTTCCCAGTACTTTCCCATTTTGTACCTTTACAAGGGAAAACAAGCATCCAAAACAAGCATTGAAACCAAGAGAAAGGTAAATTAGGCATTTTATGCATTAAAGATGATCAAACATGAAAAGAAGGTTATAATGAGAAAAAACACATAAGTTTGTCTGTGCACTCAGAAAAGCATTAGATACATGAGATGTTGGAACAGGAATAAAATTTAATCCTTCAATAGAACTAAAATATGTTAAAAGGTGAAATAAACTAAGAGAGTTAGGAAAAGAACTTAGAGGGGGGAAAATTGCCATCCTAGTCTCGTGCTGGAACTCATCCGGTAATCGCCCAAAATATAATCTTCCTGTACACACGTACGTGGAGAGTTGAACAAATACTTTGCACCAACAACTAGACAAAGTAGAAGATCATCGAAGGAGTAACCAAAAAGTGAAGCTTAAACCTGAAGAAAAGAATATATGTCGTCTACCAAGGTTCGTCGTACCGAGCTATATCGCTCGATATGGGTGGCACGTACCGTTCCGCAAACCGATATGCGGATCGCCCTCCAGCAAGCGGTACCAATTATATGATCCCATATCGGGCGATACGAGGTCTGTACCAGTCAGTAACAATCGGATTTTGACTGTTACTAATCAAGAGCTCAAATTGTCCTATTTCAAATGATCAATTTGACCGTTGGAACCGTATGAAAGGGATTTTAAACCCTTCCGCCCGCCACATTCATCCACCCAGTATGCAAAGGCAAAGGTAAAGGGGAAGGCAATAGCATCAACCACATCGTTGGAAAAAATTGAGCCGGGCGATGAGACACTCCGACTGTTACCGATCAAAGGCTCAAATTGCCCTATTTCAAACGATCAATTTGACCGTTTGAATCATAGGAAAGGGTTTTAAAACCCTTTCGTCTGCCACAGTCATCCGCCCAATGTGCAAAGGCAAAGACAAAGGGGAAGACAATAGCATCAACCACACCGTTAGAAAAAACTGAGTCGAGCGATGAGACACCTTCTCAATTGCATTCAACCCACTCGGTCCAGAGACATTTTAGTTCACGACAATCACACTATGACCATCACCATATCAATGCACCAATGACATATGATGTATCAGTATACTACGTCGTGGGATCATTTCAGGATTAGGTCCGATAAACATATCAAATTGATATATAGATATATAGGATCGAGGATTGATTACTTGATTCATTTAAATCTTAAAGCTTAAATTGTTTAAAATATAATATAACAATCCAAATCATTTCTTTGTAAATAATTCAATACTAACAGAATGAAGGTTCAGAACAGAATGTATCATAAAGTTACTCCACAAAGCCCAAAAAAGATATGTGTCACTATTCTTTCTTAATTTAAATATTTTTGCTAAATTATACCAAATTTATATTCATTTCCAATTTTAAAACACTTACCTATTTTTTTTTTCATATTTTTAAGAATTTTTGGAGCTTTTTTTGGTAATTTTACCTTATCGTCAGTACGCTCATGTGTATCGACATATGGTATGTTGGTAAGACTCGGTACATATCATACCAATAGCTGGTTGGTACACTATTATGAACCGGTAAGACGAACCTTATTATCCACTATGGAAGATGATGGAAGATGGCTAAGTAAAAGGGATTTAAAAATATTTTTGGACCAACCCTTGACTACGACATGGCAGCATGCAAGCATGTTATGTGGTTTGCATGCTAACCACATTAGCAACAACACAAGGGAAGCAACCAGTTACCTTGAGAAGTGTGCACAAATACATGCAACTACATAACATAGGTCATGTGCACAGTGCACAAGATGCAAGCAACCCAGCCAACAGATATGAGGGCAAATATAAGGGCATTTTGGTGATTTTATTTTATTTTAAAAATCTAATAATCCCAACAAAACACAAAATTACCTTAAAATAAATAAAAATTGACAAAATAAAAGTTGTGTGTGATCAATTAGGTGTCTTCTTGAAAACTTAACCTCATTTAGTAAAGTGGGCATCAATTACTAGACTATTCACTAACTCACACACACAGAGAGTAAATTCTTGCAGGTTTAAGTGTTAAAGGATATACATATCTTTTTTCTTCATGAGAAATCAAAGGATTGTGTCAATCATCAACCATGATTGTCTACAAATTTTTTGATTCCCATATAGGAGAGCCACTACCAGGGATATTGAAAAATACTATCTTGGGTCTCTCCTAGAGTCATGCTTTTCTTATATCACTACATAGGAGCACTAGTCACTCTAGGAATGGGTAATAGGAAGGAGCATGATCATGGAGCCCCGATCAGGGAAGAACATCTAAACTATAGAAAATATGATGATGTGCATTTGTGCATGCTAGGTGGGTTGCCCACGTCTTATTCACTATGCACATGACTTGGAAATTCTACTATCATTGCATGCATTTGTGCATGCTTCTCAAGGCGATCGATTGCTACCCTTATGTTGTTGTTATGGGGTTAGTATGCAACGTGCGACATGGCACGCTCGTATGTTACCACGTGGCAATCACTCATTGATATAACAAATCTTTTTAATCCCCTTTACTCGACCATCTTCCATAGTGGATGACATAGCTTCTTTTTTCCCATCCGAGCTCTACTTTCCTATTGCTTCTGATGTTTTTTTTATTTGTCTAGCTGCTGGTGTGAAGTGTCCATTCAATGTGTCTGTTCGATTCTCTACATAAGTGCGCATAGAAGAATCAACCCCCGAACATACAAGAATTGATGCTTCTATTCTTTTTTTATATAATAACTATTAGTTATTATATTTTGGGTGATTCCCAACAAGCGCCAACACGAGAACCAAGAAGTACACTTAGGACAACGATTTTCATGCCTTCGACTTCTTATTCAAACTCAATTTTTTTCACCTTTTTACCTCTTTTAGTTCTAATCAGAGGATTAAATTTTCTTCCTATTCTAATATAAGAGAATTGGAAGAAACATATGCTGATCATAAAAATTAAGAATTAGCATATGCTGATCATACAAAACACTCTCCTTTCAAGAGTCATGAGATTACACCACTAAATCATGCACCAGATGATATCAATTCAATCATGTAATCTCAAAAGTCAACCAATTGGTGACAGAATGGTAGTACTTTGTGTTTGTTACTCTGATATAAAAGCATAGTCTTTTTCAGAAGAAGTTTTCTTCTTATTGATAAAAGATGTGGTCTTTTATGATAATTGTTGCCACGAGGAATAGACATAGTAAAGATATTCAACTCATCCTAGCTTATGGTAGTGTAAACTCTTTAAGCTATCTTCAAGAATTGATGCTTCTATGCTTTTTTTTATATAATAACTGTTATAACAACAAAGTGATTTTTTTTTAATTTAATGAAAGCAGCAGGTGTCGAAATTATTATTTTCTTCCTTTGTGTCAGAACAAAATACAGCACCAAACCAGAAAGTACTGATACATCATATCAAAATTTAGTGGTGTAATCTAACCCCTATCAAATTTACTGATACACCAAACCAGAAATGGCATACGCATACACCCAATTCTCAGCAATTACTCTGAGAAAGAGTGATCATCTAACCCCTATCAAATTCTTCACAATGGCATAAACTTGATTGGCACGATATACTCAGACAGGCAGTCAAGCGAAAAGTGATCAGAAAAAAGAAAAGAAATAAAATCTCAATGGATTATCCTCTGATCTAAGTATGCGTATGCCAAGAACAAGCTGCAATATGTTGTGTTCAAGCCCCCCCAAGAAATGTAGACAATAGACATCAGCAAACATTACCAACACAACATAAATAGGCAGCAGCATTCTGAGACTCGACCTATGTAGCAATCATGTTCACCGAAGCTGACACATAGGTCAACAATTGGCAAAGGATTAATCCGACGCAATCACCAAAGAGATTGCGAGCAAAATGACCAAAACAGAAAAGGCGAAGGAATGAAATAGGAAGCCATCGCTAAAGATACAGAAAAATAGCGTAGTCGGGAATTCCTAATCATCGAAAAGGAACGAAGTATAGTTAAAATCTTTCGTGCTACGCAAAGCAATGGAAACCATCAAAGAACAGGCAGAGGAAAAGAGCGAGAAACATCAAGAAAGGTGCAAAGTTTGCCTAAATCAGTGAGAGGAAAACCTTCTTCATCCGAGTCTTGATCTCGGACTTGCGAGCCTTGTTGTAGATGCGGCGCCTCTCGGCCTGCCGAGTCCTCTTTGATGCAGAGTCGTACTTCTTCGGCGCGGCCTCGCACACCACCGCGGGCCTCCGCAGCGGAGGCGCCCGGGGCTTCTCCACCGGGCGTAGAAAACCGACCCCTTTCGAGAAGAAACACCAGTTAGTCCCAAATCGAACAAGAACAGAGCTCCATCTCAAGATAATAAGAGTAGGAGTAGCTTTACCTGTTGGGAAGGCAGTGAGGGAGAGACTGGAGGCGAAGGCGAGGGATGTGGCTTCGGGAGAGCGGCGGAGAGCGAACCCGGCTCTTCTGCTGCTTGTGTTGCTGAGGGAAGAGGAGGGGGAGAAGGGTTTGGATTTGCAAGGGAGAGTAAGGCACGAAGCAGCAGCTGCCGCCATGGTGTTCGTTCTTTTGCTCCCGACCTTTTCTTTGATGTCTCATCTTTATCTTATCCTTCTCAAGTCGCGAGTAGGTGCTGCAGTTGTCATCGACAAATCACAACCGTCTGATCTAGTGATGAGAGCCCAAGCGCTTGATCGTGCAAGCACCGTCGTGCCCGACCCTCTCCATGATCAACTGCGGTCGTCAACATTCGTGTTGGAGAATCTCATCAAACTTCCACCTTTCTTTTCTTTTCTAATATTTATAAATTTATATTCAATATAAAATTCAACAACCGTCGATATGTCCGAGTGGTTAAGGAGACAGACTCGAAATCTGTTGGGCTTTGCCTGCGCAGGTTCGAATCCTGCTGTCGACGAATCTATCTTTCTTTTTCTTTTATTAATCATCGTGCATTGTACGACCGATTTAGGTTTCAGGACTATCAAGGGAGCAATTTCAAGGTTAATTTTGCAGACATTAGTCCATTTATAGTTGAATAGTACGTTTGGTTTCCATTGGTTGGATCGCAAGTATAGCTGTTGGACATCAAGGAATGACCTTATAAGTTTTTACATTGATTAGCATTAGAAGGTAGGATCCAAGCTAATATGGAATTGCTGAGAATTGGGTGTCACCTTGTTTTGAAATGAATCATTACCTTAACTAATTTATTTCTCATGTCAAAAATCATACTGCCTGAAAATAAACACAAGATAAGCCATTGCCTACTACATAATTGTTCGTTTGATGAGAGATCTCTGGCTCTATTGCTGTTAAAATAAGCAACTACTATGGACCACATAACAGAGAGTTTGTAGTTCAAGATGGAAAAAGCATCAAGAGAATCACACAGCAACAATTATGAGACAGACATGACATCATTAGCAAGTAAACCATAAATGTAGGAACTGTTTGATGGACAAGAAACCACAATAGGCTTGTGAACAACAATTCAACTATGATGAATTGCCCACCAAGAATTGAACCTCAGAATGATATGATTATATAATGAAACCTCACTGGACACAAAACAGTAACAAAAGAATATTAATGCATCAAATCGCAATTCATGGCACAGAAAATCTCGACACCATTTTTCCATCAATGACACAAATTGAAGGTCTACTAGGCCTTCAAGCATCAAGAGAAGTTACATTGATCTTCTAATTATGGAAGCAGGTCTTTTGTCTTCAGTAAACTCCACTAATACGCAAACAAAACAACATAACTTGGTTTTATTTTCCTTCAAAATATACAACAAAGCATTTCGTAGGTTTCTTAACTGTATCCAAGTTCCCTATCTGTGTTGAATATGTATACAGCTCTAAAGCAAATACAAAGAACAGACCACCAACACTTCAAAAAAAAAAAAAACCTTCGAGGCAGACCAAAATTATGGATTTGTAACATGGCCTTTGCATCATTCATCAGCACAAGAATTTCTTGTATATATCTAAGTTGCACCAGCTGATAAAGTCATCGTTTGGATCTGTTTGGAACATGGACACAACTTTCAGTGTTTCAATTCTATATTCAGCAAGATATCACCAAAAAAAACAGATTTACCCTGTTCACAAGCAAATCGACCTGCTCTCGGTACATTTCCTTCAGGTCGATGATATCAGCTCGTAGTTCCTCCAACTGCAAAAGATACAGGATAGTTTATTTTTCTTATGGAAAAAGACAACCTAATTTAACCAAGGAAATAAAAACCTCATTTTTTGTATTTTATCAGTCTGCTTATCATTTTTTCATATCATTCCTCCATAAATCATTAATTTTTTTGCTAATCTTGATTAAAAGAATCACCAAAGACACGTGTCCTGTGTCCTGATTTTAGTCATCCCCGCTTCAAACATCCTGTCTTCTTCCAGATCCAGGTGGCCCTGGGATGCCTGCTAATTCTGAGTGATATTTTGCTTATTCTAACAGAACCTGTCCACCCAGTTGTCGCCAGCCAATCCGGATCAGTGCTGCTACTGTGACAATTGGACTATCTGAAAGATTTGTTCTGTCAATGTGATTTGGTCCATTAGGTTACACAGTCCAACGTCGAGTTTAAAATCCTACCCTCACCCCAATCCCTCGGACCTTGTTCGCATTAACCGCATTAAAAATATTCAATATTTTCTTCCACCAGAAGTTCCCATTGCTTTGAATACTCTCATGTGATTCCAATCTGAACGGATTGGTGTCTTCTCAAAACCACTAGGTTAGTAAATGAATTTCCTTTTAAAAAGCATCAAGGAATTTAGAGTTTCTTTGAAGAAGTTTGATACGGAACTTTTGACATAGAATATTTTGAGGCTTAAATTTGACTCAGCAAAAGAGGACTCAGAAGAGAGCATTGGTTTTGTACAAGAAAATGACATTTTAACAACATAATTATATTTTAAAGTTTGTAATGCATTGACCAAATTTAATCTATTAATTCCAACTGCATATTCCAGATGAAGAATGACAAAAAAGGAAACGAATAAGATAGAAGAAAGAAATCAAGCTAGATGGATGGTGCATGGATATATTGGAAGGCATTGTGAAATATGAATGGTTGAGAATATACACAGTAAAAATCAAGCAAAAAATTATAATTAAAGTAAAGTTGATTGATCCACAATGTCAGAAATGCAATTTTGTGAAAAACAATATTCAAATAGCACGAGTTAAAATGAGTACCTCTTCATCATGTTCACCCATAAGTTCCAGTGCTGCAGAGTGTCTTCGCCTTAGGGCTTCTAGCTCTGCTCGTAATCCAGGTAAAACTCCTGCTTCTGCTTGCAGCTTTTCGCACTGCTTATGACAGTATTCCAGCACTGTTGTCAAGAATCATACAGTAGGAATCCAATTCATTAAAAAGGAAAACAGAACTGTGAGGGAGTTAACCTGCTCTGTCATTTTGACTAGTTCCTCAGCAAGAGAATTACGAACAGATTCCAATGAAGCCTACAAGGAACAAAAAGTCTAAAATTCAAATTTTTAAAATTAACCAGAAAGGCAGTGATTTGAACACAGAAAATATGTAAGTTCTACCAAGACAGGAGGAACTTGAAAAGATGTGTAATGTAAAAGGAATAATAAACTAAAAGACCACATATCCATATTCTGGATATGCAAAAGCAAGAATTGGAAAGAATAAACAACAACAAATGTAGCACAATCTACAACGATGGGAAAGAAAGGAGAAATTACAGGATGAGTAGTTCAAACATTAATTGAATAGCACAACTATGCACTTGTCGGCCATTGACGGTCTTTCAGCCTGATCTTACACTCTAATCCTTGCAGGATCATCCAAGAAGAAATTTAGATTTTCAGGATAGTGGATTCACACAAGTTTCTGTTACTCATTCCATCATCATCATCTTCACCCCTTCATTCATACTTGCTAATGCAGGTGAAGGTTCACTAGAAGTTTCCCTACTGGCACAACTGTACATCCCATTACAATTTCTCAGCCCCATAAATGCATCTAATCTAAATTTGTAACAAGAAGTAAACAGAGAAGATATTATCAGAATAAAAATTCATGCTAAAGATAATTATTGATGAGCTGCTAAAGTTTCAACTATTAACCAACACACGAGGGATGCAAAATGGCAACTTTTTCAGTTAAAATGTATAGGCATAGAGGCTTCATTCTTCACAGGAGGAATGTTTTGCATTAGCAAAGTAACCTATTGATGGTTAACTATGACCTGGATTAGAATATTTTCTAAAAGATCCTAAAAAATCCATCAGAAAACTACTATAATTCTGTTTACAGATTAAGATAAAAGATTTTGGCAAGTGCAACCACAACAAATAAAATTTTCCATACCAAGCGTGACATGTATGATGCGAGTTCACCATCCTTTTGACGTAGTGCTACTTCATATACACTTTGTGTCATGCTCTTCAAAAAATATGGAGAAATGTTTCCTTCTGCAGATGGTCTCCTCTCCAATGGAAAACTATCGGACGAGTCCAAAGATGTATGCAAGAAAACGCTTTCGTCCATGCTACTCAAACTCCCAGCACTTGAAAGCTTCCTAATGGGTAGATTTTCTGCAAAGCACGAAAGGAACAAAGACAATATGAACCCATAGAATTAAAGAAGAAGCCTTCTATTACGGTAGAGAGACTTAATGGAAACAATATAATACAATTTTCCCAAAGAAAAAAAGTTCAGTAAGTATACTGGTTTGATCTTGATTTGCAACTGGAGGAGTTTCACGAGAAATTGGTTTTTGCAATTCTGTTTTGGCAGTTCTTAGCCTTTCAAGCTCCTGACATAGCCAAAGTTGAAAATGTTGAGTTGATCTCACTGGTTAATCTGTCAATCAAGCTTATAGGTGTAATGGCATTGCCAATGAGTACTCCACCAACAGTCTTTTGGAAAGTATGGACACTTTATATATACAAATTACAACCATGAAATGATACGAATGAGGTAATATGTTATACATTTTGGGAACAAAAGTGACTCTTTGAAAAAACAGCATTTAGAAGCACTACAAACATACATTATGCTTGAGAAACATTTAATGTCTCACTCCATTAAAGAATCACCATCATCTATAATAATGTAAAAAATATCAATCAAGAAATAATGTAATCATGAAAAAAAATCAAAACATAAATGAAAAAAAAGATTTTTAAGATATTAGAAGAGATAAGATGAAGATGATCCATGATCATTCATAATGGCCCGTCCCCTGCTATAGGCAAGAGTACCAACTATACATATTCTAGAACTTACAAACTTTTTACCAGAAAATAACCAGAAAGTTCTCCGAAACATATCCAAGATGTCGAATACAGATCCAAGACACACTACAATTATGAGGGTCCAAACATTTAATGTGTTCAAAAATCATACAAGCAAGTATCATTGCTTGTAGTTGGTCAATATCATGACAATCACTAGCAGACAATATATATTGTGTAACCTTTTGAGGGCTTCGAAAGTAAGAACAAATCCAACAGTCTAAATGCAATATTTCATTTAAGAGTTATGTATCCTAACTTCCTAAGTAACTAAAACAGTTTTTGGTAATACTA